AGGGTGAGGGGTGAGGGTGAGGGGTGAGGGTGAGGGGTGAGGGTGAGAGGTGAGGGTGAGGGGTGAGGGTGAGGGTGTGAGGGTGAGTTTAAAGGAAATAATTCCAAGCTACTTACGACGCGTTTCGTCCTTGCTTAAGGGACTCGTCATATAAATTCGGAATTAAATTCTGCATTGAATTAAATCTCATATCAAAAAAAAGTTATTAGATACAACCAGGAGTAGGAGACTCCGGAGTGTTGATGGTTGCATCGGCAAATAAAATTGTATGGAAACAATTCTACGTTGATGGACATTATGGGGTGGAATTGTGGTCACCATCCGCTTATTTCATTCCACCAACTGTGCTTCCTCTGATACTTGATTCGCTAGATAATTCAATACTATCACCGTTTTTACCAAACACTTCGATCAGTACAAGTATAAGTGAATTGTTGGTTGAGCAGCTGAAAACAAAAATATCCTATGAAAATTATTGGGCTTCATATGTACCAAGTGTATGACGCTATGAATCAAAGATGGACGAGTCAACAAAAAAGTCGCACCGCCCCGTCGATAAAGTTCCGCACCGCCACTGCCACGCCTGTTCAGCATTGAAGCCGTCACCGTCCCGCCCCATCGAAAATGTTTTCAAAAAGTGTTTCTCGACAAATTTTTCCTTAAACTTTCATAATGACTATTTTGTTTCATGAGATGAAAAGGCATATTTTAAACGCATAAACATCATTTCGAAATAGAAAAAAAATAAACATGAAAATGAAAAACAATTATAATAAAATCACTCATTTTGTGAAACTCACTTATATTTTCGAAGAAAATAGTAAGTGTATGTTTTAAGTTTGAGGTTTGACGGCTCTCCCTCCTCTTTCCTCATCCCATGACAAACACATATTACGTGGGTTCCACATTTTAGCTCCTTTGGAGCTACACTAACAAGCTTCTTTTTACTGATTAGTTTTGTGTGAAAAAGTTTTAAAAATTTTTAAAAGATGTCTCCAAAGATCTGAGTATATTTAAAAAACGAAGGTTATACAAAGGCGGGGAACCGCGAAATTTCGTCATGCACCGTCACCATCCCGCCCCGTCAAGTTTTCGCACCGCGGCTCGTCCATCTCTGCTATGAATATGTAAAAGGCAATGACATTTTGTATGTGATAACATCGCTACTTGGTCTCCACGGTAGCCTCACCATTACCTTGCGATTTATTGCTTGAAATAGTGTTCGAATTTTGGAATCGTGTAGAAATCATCGATGCACTTGTCATACGAGAGTTCAACCAATCTCTTGAATATGAAAGATCAACGAGAGTTGACTTAGAAATTCAAAACCAAAAGCAAGCGACAATAAGCAGAATCATTTCAATCATAGCCTCGCAATATTTTCTTATATTTAAATAGTATCTATTCTATTCAAAATGCTTGTTATTCGTATTATACGTATATATTGTTTTCGAAAAATCAGAATAAATGTCTCTATGTTATGTTATTCAACTTCGGAGAACGCTATCAAAATTATCGAAAAATAGAATTAAGGCAATAATATGAGTCATGGAGATTATGCTAGAACTTTTTTTTGTTTTCTGGTTAGAAAGGTCATATTGAGTGTTAGATAAATTAAAGTTTCCTTCCTTATATTGTTTTAATTTATAAAATGTAGCAGTTATAATTTAGAGAATGAAGTCCAAACTTTTAGAAACGTTACTTCTATAGTTGGACATTAGTGTCTACGAGTTTCATAAACAAACTGTGTCCTGATGAAACGCATATAGAGATCTGCAAAATGGTCACGATCACGCGTGAGTGTGAGCGTGACTGTAGCATAACTATGGCCAAGGATATATCTTGTAATAATTGGTTGTATTGCATCTGATGATGTATCTCTATCATACAATATTCAACGATTTTTTAAACCACTAGCACCAGTTGAACTTTTATCAGTAATAATTGTTCGACAATATCATATTATACGAAATTTTAAACAACGTCATCCAAAAATACGAGGCTAAATTGTGCCCAGAAAGATGAACAATGATCGGTCTGTTGAATCTTTTTCAATGTGATTGTGGTGTCATTTTTCTTTAAAAGCTGTTCGGGTTTACTGCGTGTTAAAAGTTTAGAAATCGTGATTTATGGCAGTAAGAAGAATTCGATTGTATATCAGATCGGTAGGAAATAATTTTTGACGACAACTTGACCTATCAATATGAATTACAAATCACTATCATGAAGTTTACTTGGATTTTCATAAACTAATATCTTTTTAGAAAAAATTCTCAGTTCTAATAATTATCAGAAGATGTCGTTATTCAGTGAAATTTTTTTGTGTCTGTGACTGTAACTGTTACAGAATCCATAAATTTCTCATAGTTATGATCGTGACTATGACTAAAAAATCATGGTCATGCAGATTGCTAGTCGTATAACACCTGGATGAAAATATTTGGAAATAGACAAAAATGTAAGAAAAACTGTTTGAAACATTCGACCTATTAAACTAAGGTATAGAGATTCTGTAAGATTCTTTAATTATAACTGAGTTAAATAATTCAATATAATTTACTAGCAATATGAAAATTGTTTCTTGAAATTTAACGAGATAAAACTAACGAGAAGAAAAAAAAGTTTAAACTCAAAATAGTTCGCAAATTTACGAAGCATTGTTCTTCTCTTCATCGCTCTTCACTTAGATTCACACATCGATTCTCTAGTTTGAAATAAAATTCATTTAATTTATACGATTTTCAAAGGTATTAATATAAAAAAATTCGTATTGTACATTAATGATGTTGTCATATTTTCTTAAGTTATATAACCATAAAGATATTGTTACTTCGTTAACTTTTCATGTAAGACGAGAATTACAAGAAAAGTAGTCTTTTAGTAGGGTGTGGGTGCAGCTACGAGATGTGAGTGTTGGAGACCCTTCAGTTCTATCAAATCCACACCCTACATCATACTATACCCACACTCGCATCCACACACCCACATCCATTTTTATAAATTTTTAAATATTCACAGAACGTCAAGAGCTTGGAGTTACTTTCTTCGATAATTACCTATGGTTAGTTCTCATAATCTAGTTCATGCCTCGAAATAGATGTGGTCAATAAACGAAAATACACTGAACTTTTGCCAATAATCTCAACGATGAAGGTAAGGATGAGGTAACAATAGAAGCAATCTTGACTAATATCGTCTTGAGAATAACGAGAGCCAATTGATCTCTGAAAAAGCATGGAATTGTCTTCAATTCTTTGAAATAGATGCCATTCTATCCAATGAACAATTTCGACTTGTAGATCAAAAGAATGGGTAAAGATTGATTCTACTATTCGAAACTATTATTTCACTGCCATCATCAACATATAATATGTATTTCATCAATGAAATTAGTATTTTATTTCAAAGTATAGTAATGAGCTAATTTGTTTGTGATTTTATTTATAATTAAACATCAATATAAAGTTCATCATGTCTCGATTGTTGTGTGACATCCGACAGCGTTTTGCTTAGAGTTTCGGCACACGATGATGTCGTATTGTGATATTATAAGGTATGACTTGATTATTTACTTCTGTGATGCGACAAATGAGAATCTTCATTTTCCGACGTACTTCCTTCGAACTGATGAGATAAATGTAAAAATCTTCAAAATAAAACATTGAATAAATACGATATATGGTAGAAAATTTCTCTTACTCGAGCATAGATGGATATAGGTGAGATGAATACTGATGGTATTAATTAGTCCTTCGATTGCGAGACGCAATGGTGTTTTCACAACTGTTAATGTCCACATCACGTATCTATAATGAAACATAACTGTATATGCAATTTGTTTTTATTTTATTCTGCAAAATGAGATATTTGTTGTGTTTTTGTACTTACAGGTTGTAGAAACAAGGGGGTACTAAAGCACAAGCAGTAACGATTGTTTGTAGAACAATTGCTCGAGTCATTTGTAGTTCAAGTTGATTTGTCGTCTGTCTCACCGTGCGAATATTGCGTAATGTTAGAAAGCCAAAGAAACTCAGTAATGTCAAGGGGAGCAGAGTGAAAACCACGAGCACTTCAAAGTATATCTAAGTAACAATACAAACATGAGATTTTTTTTCTATTCTGCGATGCACAACTATCATATATTTTTACATAGAATTGAAGCAATACAGTATTTTGAATACTGCATCTTATTGTGCCTGTCAATGAATCTATCGTATTTCTACAGAAGATAGTATAAGGCCAATTGATTAGAAGGCCAAAGAAAACGATGCCCAGTGTCATATTTCGTAAGACCTTCTTTGTACTCCAAGCACGTCTCGATACTTTGCGACATGAACACAAATATCTTAAAAATGAAAACAGTTTTCAGACATATATAATGAAACTTGATATTTAAATATTACTACCTGTCAATACTAAGCCACGATAAAAGTAACATAATTATAGTAAAAAATGTCCAGAGAATGAAAGTCCGCAAAGGACATAAGATAGCATAGCCAAACGTAGTGTCAGATTGATGTTGTACACTAGCAATAAAACGTGTTATCAATAGATAATCCAAATAGATCGTACTCAATATTGCCAATATAATTAAATACGGTGCAGTACGCGTCAAATATAAAGGAGCTTGACTAAAGAGAACCACAGTCAGTACATTACCTATTGTTCCTATCACTACTTCGGTTAATCCAACATACATATATATATTCAAATTAATTTCGTTGAGTGTGTCAATAAGTGACGACATAATAGCGAAATTCGAGAATGAATGACAATAATCTAATCAACAGGTTGAAATGTGAATGAGTAAACTCACACTATGAATGTGCACTATAGAAAAGAAAATGATGTCTCCTTCATCTTCTTGAAGTTATTCTGTCGTATTTAATCAAGAGTTAATACTTCCAAGCAGTAATATAAACACCGGTTTTTCTTTTATTTCTCAGAGAAGTAGTAAATGCAGACAGCTTGAAGCAAGACACAGTTTTGCTTCTCGTTGTTCTTCCCTATACTCAAAAATCAAAAACGCTGATGAAACACATTTTCTTATCATTTATTCTTCAAACGATGTGAGACTCATTCTGTTATTACTGTATTTCAATGATCAAAGAAGAAAAGGCCTGTTGAGTTAAGAAAAGACACATTGCATATCTATGCCTATAATAAATGTTGTAAGATGCGTTCTATATAATTAACAAGCAGAAAATAGCATGCTTTAAATGGAAACAACTTCGTAATATAAAAGTTATTTAAAGTATGTAAGAGTAGCTCAAAGTATTCAGAAGTAATTTAAAGTACACTAAAATACATTCAAAGTATATCACAGTATGTTGAATTCTCTAGAAGTATGACAAAATACTTCAAAACATCAAAAATATTTCAAAGTACCGTGAAAGACGTGAAGTGTACGAAACAAAATTAGATTATTTCGAAAAAAAAATCACTATTTAGAGAAAAAAAAACATAAGTAGTGAGCTGATTAATAAATATCACCTGTTTATTTCATGACACAGGATAAACGATCGTTTGATAATTTCGTTATATTGTTCGATGACAGTCTACAGATCGATTGTTCGTGAAGATATTTAATGTTCTCATTTATTTTGATTTTGAAATATGATTGACTACTTTTATTCCATTAAAGTCGAACTCTTTTTGAATTTAATATATCTTCATCATCATCATCATCATCACTATCGTTATTTTGACTGTCAAATAGTCTCTTCATCCAGTGCAAACTTCTCCGTGATGTCACTTTATATTTGTGGAATAGTATTCGACGGTTCTGAGTAACAAAAATGAGAAAAAAAACGATTTTTCTTCTAACTCATACATAATCAGATGCAGAATTTGATGTTGATTCTAAATTTCTGGTTATAATTGAAAAACAACGGAGTTTTAACCGCGAAAAACCTACTTTACTGTGGATGTAATGCTAATAGAAGGTTGTTTCCAGTTGCTGGTGTTAGAGCACCTAGCAACGACACTATAAACTCTAAAATAGTTGCAGCCGTGTGGCAATCTATTTTTCTAATGAGAAGCATGTGAAAAAGGCTGATTCTAGTCGAGTTTTGGACAGTTTTAGTATCAGATACTCAAAAGATCAGCAAAAAAACTATGACAGTGTTTCCAGATTACGACCGAGAAAATGCTTTTTTGACTAAAATGAATGTACTATTTAGAATCAGCGCTCAAAAGTACACTTAATAATACGGACTCTCTCAAAATTAATTTTTTAATAAAATTTCGACCCCTACTTCCCCTCAGCTCTTTTCTATCGTAACTTCGTCCGTACTCCTCCTCGGTCAAATTTAGGTGCGAATTTTTTTTGATAGAGTCTATATTATTAGGTATAATGACAAGTTGTCCAAAACTCGACTAGAATCAGCCTTTTCACTTGCTTCTCATGAGAAAAGCAGATTGTCACACGACTACAACCATTTTAGAGTTTATAGTGTCGTTGTTAGGTGCTCTGACGCCGGCAATCGGAAACGTAGGTTTTTCACGGTCAAAATTTCCTTATTTTTCAATTCTAACCAGAAATTTAGAATCAACATCAGATTCTGCATCTGATGATGTATGAATCAAAACAATTTGAAAAAAAATTTTTTTCGATGGTCCTGGAATCTCTTACAGGTACAAATTTACAGGTAAAAAATGTAAGTCGTTTTTCGACAGAAAAAAGTACCTCATTTTTTTTTACTCAGAATTTAATGCTGATTCCGAATATGTAATTCTTTTTTAAAAATATTTTGGATAAAAAAATAGCCTTATCGCCACTTGCCCTTTGAATCAAGCTGTAAGAGAGAAAATACATAGATTCAAAAATGCAAAAAATAAGAAAGGACTTGCTCTATTGCTTGATGGGATAAATTATTTTTTCTTTTAGTGAATAATCTTATTATAATAAGAGATCAACAATGAAAGTGTTTAAAAATTAATTTTACCGAACAAAGAATGTTTTTGTGAAGAGAGGAGAGAAAAAGGAAATAAGGAAATAATAACATGTTTGAGTTTAATAAGATTCTGTCAGAATGCTCTTTGACTAAATATATATTTTTTTCTTTCATAGTTTTCACAAGGATTCATAATGAAAATAACAATGAAATCATGACGCATATAATAAAGTATCTGTCCGGTAAAATCATGTAAGTTCTTTCATGATAATTGCTGACTTTATAGATGTGAATGATGTTGAACATTTTTTTTCTTTAATTTTTGTTCTTTACAAGTTTCTGTTTGTTGAAAATCCGACTATTCAATTCTTCCTAGAAAATACTAGATAGTACACGGACCAAGCTCGTGATGTGAACTCAATGCAAAGCACATCTCCAAACTGGATTCAACGTTAATGAGCTTGCAACATTTTTCACATAGCCGAAGTATCAAATTTCGTGATACTAAAATGACAAGTTTTCTTTCAAACCAGTCTTTTTTGTCTTCAAATTGGTTATTTTTATTATTTGTGTGCGTTTCAATAGGTTATTTTAATTCATATCAAAAATTAAACGCGTCAACATAAAAAAACAGAAGCAATTGCTTGAAATACTTTCTTTAAAACATAATCAACATCAGGATAAGATTCTTTCATTGTTCGTGAGTTTTTCTTACGTTTATCTCTCAAATGTTTTTGAGCATTAGTATGGTTTTGAAGAGCCAGATCGTTGATTGCGGCCATATTCGCTAACTTATCCAGAGTGTTTCCTACAGGATTCGACTGGTATACACAAGAAACTTGGAAGCAGTATTCTGGACCAAAAAAGCCATCGAAACGAAAATGGTTAGTTTTCAACATTATTTCGAAACTGGAAACCGATAGAAAACAACCCAAATCTCGCCGAAAGGTAAAGAAAATGGCGGAAAACTCAACGGATCAACACAAAGACCCGACTGTAACTGAATGATACCTACATTCGATTCCAGCAGGATTCATTCTATTTCTCATTGGATCTACTGAATTTTCCGTAGTATCTCCTCAGTTTTGCACAGCATTTGTTCACAACAGGATTGATGAAATGAATCATTTTTGTGGGAGAGAGAAAGTTTTGCTTTTCCTTTATGGTTCGATTTTCTTTTATATTTCTTAAGTTAGATATCAACATGCTGAAAAAGCTAGCAGAGTTATTGATTTTCTCTATCTTTAAAATACCTACATCAGTATATTATTAAACTTCAAAAGAGCAAAATCATTAAAATACTAAAAACAAAGCAAATAGGGATAAAATAGTAATGATTATGTGGCGTCTCTATTGATGAGTGAAAAAAAACAAAAATGCAATATGATCCATCAAATTAACAAAAATTTATGACACAATGAGTTTCAGAATGGAATTACAGTGTATCATTAATCTTCTGATGGCATGTACAGTTTGACCAACATTAAAGATCTTCGCCTCGATGACCTTCATATTTCTGATGACTCACTTCTTCATTGGCATCTTCAGTATCATCTATAGTAGCTTCTGTCCCTGCTGAATCACTTTGAGAAGATGGAACCTCACTTTCAAAAGTTAGGTTAGGATTAACTTGAGCTTGATGATCAGCAGTCGAGACTGCTTGAGATAGTTCATTCGTAGGTGTTGGAGCCGCCTGAGAAGGTTGAGCGAGCACTTCATTTATAGGAGTGGGAATCGCCTGAGAAATTAGTAGAGGTACTTCATTCGTAAGAGTTGGAGCTGCCTGAGAAGGCACTTCATTCGAAGGAGTT